CTGAACGGTGAGTTTTTGCCCCATAGGAACGCATTAAACAGGGTTTAATGAGTTCCTATGGGGTTTTTTGTTCTGTTTAGAGATGTTTCCGGATAGCGACGTTAATCCTGGAACGGATTAACGTCGCTATGCGGGGCACCACTGTATGTTATAATACATATTTTTCTGTAGAAGATTAAGAAACTGAAAATGGAAAAAATTAATGCAAGCCAATGAATCTTTTTCTTGATTTTTAAGTCACATATCTCATTTTGAAATTCTGTTTATATTTATTTAATGTGTGTTACTTAAATGTATCTACTTAAGATATTCTGTCTCAACAAAAATGAGCATAATAAAACTATGGATTTCATGATAACTTCAAGATCTAGCAATTTATTCTTGAAAGTAATTTGTAGTATCAATTAGCATTTAAAACAACATACTGTTGCTGTAAATTCTATCAATCTATACAAATAACTTCTGATCAGCTACTGGGAACCTATAGCACTTCCCACAAGTTCTGTAATCTCTGACCCAATCATCCTATACCAGTATTTCTCCATTAGTTAACTGCACTGCACTTTCCTGTATTAACTATGTAATTTTGCACTATTTAACATTTTATTATTATTTTAAAGAATTGTTAATTTAAAAAATTAGGATATGAATGTGAATAATACGAAGCACTATACAAATGCTATAAATAAATAAGCAAAAATGTCTGTAGTTCAGACTCCGCAGGCCAACAGATTTGCCATTATTTCCTAGAGTTTAAATGGCAGTTGTGTTTAAACACCTGGAGGAGTGGAGACTCCCAGGAAATTCTAATTTTTCCAACAGAAAAATATAGATATGCAAGGGAGCAATTTGTATTAGAAGGAGGGAATCGTATGTTCCATTTAATATTTTGGAAATGTGAAATGCTTTTTGAAAATGCTGTTACTCAGTCAAAATGTTTACAATTCATGTAAAAATCTATATCATAAGAAAATGATAATTCTGGTATATGGAACAGATTCCACCTCAATAATGATGGTGGTGGTATCAGTAACTGCATGCCATCAAATTGTTTCCAACTTATGGCAACCCTTTCCAGAGTTTTCTAAGCAGACAATACTCAGAAGAGGTTTATCATTCCCTTCTTCTGAGGATTCTTTGGGACTATGCAGTTTGCCCAAAACCACAGAAGCAGACTATTCTGCCAGGAAGCAAAGTGGGGAATTGAACATTCAACCAGATATTTATACTACTAAGCAATACAGCTAGCCACCTCATATATGGATGTTATAAATTTCCAAAGTAGGTATTTTAGGGCGTCCCATCATGTTAGCAAAATTAAAGGGACAAAAAAAAGAAAACAAGATTGAATATTGTGATAATTTAAAAATCTGCTTATTTATTTTATTCTAAGCTTCCATGGATCAAAATCCATTTCTTCAGACACATTGAGTGAAAATACTATCTTTTGCCTTTATTTATGTCCCTTGTTGGTAGGAGTCTGACTGTGGCGGAAATACAGACAAAAAATTAACAATGCATAGTTAATACAAGACAACTACCTCAATGCCAAATACTTGAAATTTCAAACCATAAATGCAATAAGTTGCATGGCAGATAGACTACTAATCCATATAAAACCTCTGTATAAACACACATTATGTGATTCACTCCTTCACTGAAATCCAGTAACATAAATTTATGCTGTGCAAGTCTGATTTTGTCATCAGCTATGGCCATATTTTGCTAATTCAACATTTTCTATTCCCACCCTCTTAAGTTCCCAGGCTGTCTTAGGATCCCTTTGATCCTGAGGAAAGCCTTTGGAGGGCTGCAGAATGGGGTGGGAAATCTTAAATATCTGAAAATTGCTGTCAGCACTTCCTTTTAATTTTGACAACATGATATTATAGTCTTGTTTGTATCTGTATTCATCAGTACTCTAACCCAACAATAAGATATTGCTGAAATAAACACCTGGCTGGGTTTCTACAAAAAACCCCGAGTTTGATTTTCAACTTTCATTTCCCTCAGTATCTCAGATAACATTAACCAGGATTCATTTACTTCAGCACATAGCATGAAAATGTCTGAAACTTTCCCTCCTCTGCAGTACCAGGTATATTCACAATTTTGTATTTATAACACTTGAGACTGCAGTCATATATCCACTTACTCAGATATAAGCCCAATCTAAATTCTATGCACTTTCTTTCTGAGTATGTATATATAGAGCTGTATTGTTAGATGTTATGTTTATGGGGACATAGGCCTATACAAATTGGATAAAAATCAATGATTTTTTAAAAATCAATTTGATTTAAATCAAATTTACTCTGGTCCTATGTGGCTTATCTACGATCATGCAACACTAAATGAAGATACTCTACTTCTATTTTATGCAAATTACAAATACTTAGATAAAACCATTCTGTAAATTCCTCAAATATGTCAAATAGTACAATTTTATAAGTGAAAAAATTTAAAATGATATATTTTGTTGGTAAAATAAGTCTATTTTATAAGAAAGTACTCTGTAGATAGGTGAGAAGCAAAAGTGAAAGGGGACAGAAATAGGATCAGAATCTTGGATATAGCTTTTTAACACTAAACCATATATTGGTGTACGTTCAAATTCTCTTAGCGCTAGACTCTCTTAGGTCCTACTGTTCCACTTAGAACATGGTTTAACCAGCAATTTTGTTTATTAAGCTGACTTTGAAAAGTAGGTGTGTTTGCTTCAGTACTTATAAGTTGTGCTACTGGAATTGTCAGTACCTCATATAAGAGTGGCAGGAAGGCAGCAATGCACTTTCTAGCTACTGTATCATTAAACTTATATTACTGAATTCTGTCTTCCTCGTCTATTCTGCACTTGAAGAACACAATGGCTGAAATTGTGTTACTTATTGTAGTAAGTCACAACTAGAGAAGGCCCATTTCAATCAATGGAACTTATGGATGAGTTGACTCACCAAATCCCCACTGATTCAATAGGTCTACTCTAGTGCAACTTACTACACCAAGCAAGAAGATGTCAGCCAATGTATTTCACATTACCAGATACATAATGTCAAGACTGTATCAATCAGCCCAGGTTTCTGAGTCTTAAAAAAATGTTTCATTTCAAGATTTCAAAATGGGGGCAAGGGTGGCGAGAAAGAATCCTTCCTTCCTTTCCCACTATCGCTGAGAAAATTAAGGGGGAGCACACTACAAACCAGCACAGGTCAAAAGGACGTGTATGTTTTAAAGGTGACTGCTCGAACGTGTTTTGCAGATGAATACAGAATGGGATTTTATTTCTTCTAGGTATAAATGCTCTCTCTTACACACACAAACATGTGAGTAGAAGACGCTCCATAAGGGTGGGCGTATGACACGTTTGAACCTTTCCGTATACGTCCTATAACCACTACAACATTGCTCACGCAAACACAGAAAAAGCAGGTGTTTTATTTGCATCGCTAACAATGCACACGGCTTGCCTAACCCCTCTCCCTTTTTCCAAGGTAACTAGCGAGTTTAACAGGGCAGGGCACGAGTTACGAGAGGCACCGGGCATGGTAAGTGGCAAAAACCACCTTATATATATATATAAAAATACTGGCGAGGTTCTTGTCCCATCAGAGGGTCTCCTAGGGTAGCCGACTGGCCAGCGAGCACTTCGCTTCCCTATCAAGAAGACGAAGGGAGTGGCTAACACGCCGAGCGCGGCGGGAGGGTAGGCCTCAGACTCCATTACGGAGCAGAACGACGCCTCGCCCGGACGAGGCAAGAAGACATAAAAGATGGAAAGGGGGGGGGAAGGCCTCTCTCCAGGAGACGAGCGGCCCATGAACGCCCGCACTCACCATTCGCCCGCTTTAGGGCGTTCTCGGGCCGCTGGAAATAGACCGGCATGATGGCGACGGGTTCCCCTCACGCGGCAACGAGCCTCAAGGAGCGCCCAGTCAGGCCCCAAGCGAAGCCGGAAAGGGAGGCCGCCACGTGACCAGCGCGCACGGACGTGTCCGGAAGTGGAGGCGGCCACCAGGGGGCGACTTCTGCGCTCCGGCTTGAAGAGCGCTTGCGCCAGAAATCTTCCCCGTAGTCTAAAAGCGTTGCGGTTCGGGGCGGGAGCGGCTTTGACGCTTTCCGCCCGGGGGTTTCGGGAGTCGAGACCCAGCTGCGTACGTGGGCCTGGTTTCCTGTGAAGTACAACCCGCTCTATTCATTTCAGCCTGTTTGTTAGTAATTGTAGTTTTGGGATCCCAGCTCCAGTTCCTACCTGTTTTCATGAGTGTTCATTTTTTTATTTTATTTTTTTTTATTTCGCCTTTGTCCTTGAAAAGAATCCAAGGCGGCTTACGACAGTGAAAGACAATATTTAAAGTTGGGAACAATTAATATACAACGATGGTTAGCATCATTAAAGGTAAAAACAAAGAGTAAGGAGACATCCTACATCATTCAAAGACAATGTTTAAGCTAAGAATAAGCAGCGTGACATCAAATTAAAACCCTACTCTAGAGTTTTGTTACAGTTGGCCAGTGAGGGAGAGGTACTTTTCTAGCCCTGCCACCAGCCCTCTGGCTTCCCCACATTACTCCAGAAGTGTAACCAGAACAAGCTTAACCAGTTTTCAGTTTTCATATGCTAGAAAACTAAAAACAAGTTGGTCTTAACAGGTGCTCCGTGACTACTGTTTCCTCTTTTGTTCCAACAGACCAGCATGTATTTGACCAGCTAGATTACCTCTCAAAGTGTGCAGCCATTGGCAGAAGGAAGGTTCACCATATAGTACTTCTGTTTTCATACAAAGAATTTAAATTAATGGTCTTGAAATTTACCTTGTGTCCACTGATGTATTTAGACTGGGATTGTGGAAAAAAGCCATTTTTCACACAAAACTTTAAAATTGGCGTGTTTTCCCTGTATGTCAGGGGTCTCAAACTCAATTTACCTAGGGGCCAGTGGAAGCAGAGTCTGGGTGAGGCTGGGCCACATCAGATTTTTCGCCAAGCGGAGCAAGCGCCCCAGGAAGCCTCCCAGGAGTTTCTTTAGCCCAGCTGGGGCTCCGAGGAGGAGGAGGGGAGGAGGGGCGCAAGAGCCCTTGTCACCGGCCACATCCCCCTCCGGCTCCTTCACTACCACCACCAGCAGCAGCAGGACGAAGAAGTGGAGAAGGGAGGGAGCGCTGGCGACCGCCTAGTGGGGGGGGGAAGGAGGGCATGACATAAAATTTAAAAAACCCTCACAGAATCGCCTTGCCAAAGGAGAAAAGCCCCCACTGGTACCCACGAAAATAAACAGAACGGGGTGGCCCCCCCCACAGGTGCGCACACATGCACAAAGACATGCATACACACGGAGGTCCGGCAACCTTCCTCTCAGGGCCCTACTCAAAAAAAGGCGTACTCAGCAGCAGCAGCTACCCCCACTATGACAGGGGAGCAAACTTTGTGAGGGGAGCCCAGGCAGCCTCCAGAGCCGAGGCAGCTGAAGCAGGACGAAGAGGAGGAGAAAGAAGCACTGCCGGGTGCTGAGGCGCCTGCTGGCTGGGCTAGTGCTGGGGGTGCCAAGAGAGAGAGCCAGACAGCCGCTTCCCTGGAAGAGGCGGCTGTAGCTGCTGTTGGCGGCGCTATTGGTGGGCCAGCTGGCAGGCTGCAGTTCTGGCTGGAGGGTAGAAGAGGCGCTGTCTTGGGAGAGAGCTGGCAAGCGAGGCAAGGCTTTTTTTTTACTCTTGACAGCAGAGGATGTGTGGGTGCTTCAAGGGGGGCAGGCAAGGTGGGGGCCACAAACTATCATTCGGCGGGCCGCAAATGGCCCCCAGGCCGCATGTTTGAGACCCCTGCTGTATGTAGTGTAATATAAAAGAAACAGTATTTCCACGTTTTTGTGTTACCTTTATGTAGTTGTACAAACACATTTTATAGAACAAATTGAACTCCAAAACACAGCAATATATAAATTGTTAACTTCCTTCCTATAATTAAGTTTAATTAGTTATTTAAATAAGCAACAACAAATAGGTAGCTTACTTTCAGTTAGTTTCATTGGTTATTTAAATAAATAATGAATCTGTATTTCTATTACTGTACAAATGCGAGTAGATAAATAGGTACCACCTCGGTGGGAAGGTAACGGTGTTCCGTGTCTTGTCGCACTGGCCACGTGACCACGGAAACTGTCTTCGGACAAACGCTGGCTCTGTGGCTTGGAAACTGAGATGAGCACTGTGCCCTAGAGCCAGACACGACTGAGCTAAATGTCAAGGGGAACCTATTTCTATTACACAGATGTAATAATTTCTATTACACAGATGTAATGATTCTGTATTTCTATTACACAGATTTAATTAACTGTGACTTTAATTCACAGTGAATTAAAAACTCAACTCTTTGAGTGGGCTTGAATGTTTATTTCAACTTATATACTGCCCCATAATTAAACACACTCTGGGCAGTTTAGAGCAAAGCATGCAAAGCAGTAATAAATACACAGCAATATACAAGTACATATCGACCAACAATAAAATCAATAAAACCACTGAGCTAGTTAATCCATCTTTAGATAAACAATTTAGAATTATATCACAGATAAAATCACTAAATAGAGGCAGTGTTAAATGATTCAGTTTTTATTAACTTCATAAAAGCTGCATGTGAAGAGACCTGGCGAACCTCTGCTGGCAGTTTATTCCAAAGACGAGAGGTTACAACTGAAAAAGCCCAGTTCTTGATGCTCACTCTTTCAGCCTCCTGTGGTGTTATTGTCTGTAACATCCTGGACTGCAAAGAGTAAGTGGGATGGGTAGCTGTTTTGTAGGAGAGATGTTCTGACAGGTATTGAGCTCCTAAACCATTTAGGCCTTTATATGTGATGACCAGCACCTTGAATTGAGCAGAGAAATTAACGGAGATATGGAGATATGCCACGACTGGAGATATATGGTCATATCTGCTGGTACCTGAGATCAATCTAGCCACCGCATTTTGGACCTGCTGAAGTTTCCATACTGACTTCAAGGGCATTCCTACATAGAGAACATTAAAGTAGCCTATTTTGGAGATCACCAAAGCATAAACCACTATTGTTAGGCATGTTTGGTGGATATGCCACCTTGACACACATCTCCTATTTGCCAATAGGATGAAAGAAACACTTTTTTCACTATCATCAGTTCATTTCTCCTGATTAAGAAATGAAAAGCCAATATGACTTTTTGAGTTCTATTTGTTCTCACCAGTGATTGCTACAGGCATGCATTTGAGAACATCATTGTTATGACTGTTACAGACATACATTCTAAAACATCACAGTTTCAACATCAGATGAAAAGCTAAATTGTGTGTCATACTGATTCCCAGTATACTAGATGACTTCCTTTACAGGGTCTGTGTGTTGAAAAGCAAACCCCGAGCACCTTGCAGGATGATTCCCATGGAAAAGAATTACAGTTTTTCTGTATCAGATTCTAGAGCCTATTTGGAAAAAAAATGCAGGCTCTGCCTCAATTCTTCACCTTCAATCCAGAAAACTAGAGGTTATTGTGATGAATGGTATTAAAACGTGTTGAGTTAGGAGAATTAATAAAAAGCACTCTATCTTTATTCCAAAGCAGAGATCCTCAAACCAGGTACAGTAATCAGTCCTGAAACGAGGCTGAAATGGGCCTAGATCAGAGGTTTGAAGCTTTGGTCCTCTGGATGGTTTGGTCTTCCAACTCTCAGAAACTCCAGTCAGCAATAACAAGTAACGGATTTTGTGAGTTGTCCAGAAATAGTTTGTCATCCAGGTTTCAGATACTGTAATTCATACAGAAAATACCTGGTTCCTTTTTTTATTAAAAAAAAAACCAAAAGACAACATACTATTGAATTCCTCTTTTGATGATCAGGTTTGCTTTTGGTTATTGTGCTTACAATTACAGTATGTTCCTCAAATTGTCATTTGGTAAGCGAGATGGCTGATTTGGTCAAAATGCCAATGGGATCCCTGTGATACTGGAAACCCAATGAGGACTTGTTGAAAGAGTAAGATGTATTTAGCTTGAAGAAGGTAGAAACATAAAAGCACTTTTCAAGTACTGTACAGTATTTTAAGGTCTGTGGTGCAGAAGATGGATTGAGTTTGTTCTCGCAAGTTCCAGGGGGGCAGGACTGGAGCAAACAGGAGGAACCTGATTTTTCCTAAACATTAGGGAAAACTTCTTCAATGGTAAGAGGCATTCAACAGCAGAACAGACTGCTTCGGTTTTTTTTGCTTGAAGGCATTCAAGATTTGTGGGGGGAGGTGTTGCATCCTGCATTGCAAATCTTGCAGCAAGCAAGAAACTGGACTAGGTCAGTGGTTCTCTATCCTGGCTACCACCTAGGCATTCGTGCCCTTCAATTCCCTGAAGCCTCAGGAATTTGATAGGTAAAATTTAATATCTGGGGACCCTACAATGGACACCGCTGGATTACACGACTTCCAATTCTGAAAAAAAAAAGATGCATCTAGCTTAACGACCACGTCCGTTACCGTTTTTCAAATACTGTAAAGCCCAAAAGCAACTCCCCCCTTCCAAGCTCAGCTGAAAGGAGCCCGCCCGCCCGCCTACGGATACCCTGTTCGGTCTCCACTCTGCAAAATGGAGTTTCCTCGATCAAACCGGAAGCCAGGAGGCGTGTGTTGCTCAATTTTCTTTTCATGAAGAGGGCCTGGATGGGGCCCGGCTGGGCGCTCAGGAAATAGGCGGGGACCGGGAGGAGGGAGCGGAGGAAGATGGCAGAGTCGGAGGCTCAGCTGCTCCTGGGCGTGGGGCTGATCGGTAAGCACACCGCCGGCTGTCCCCTGCTCCGCCCGGCAGGGAAGCGGAGGGGAGGGGCCGCCTCGTCTCCTTCGTTTTCCTCCCCGCCACCCCACTGGAAATGCCCTCTCCCTCCTTTGACAATAGTGGTTAGTTCGTGTGGTGACGGAGCAACGGGAAAGGGGGACTGTTCTTCCCTGCTCAGGCGGGATGAATAATTTCCAGCCCTTTGCTTTGACTGGGATAATCAAGGATACACAGGCGAGGATGGTTTCATCCTTTCAGTTCAGTCTGTGCTTAGGGATGGAGGCTGGTGGAGACTGGAGAGACAGCTGTTCGGGATTAATTAACATTGATTCAGGGGTTGCGAGTTCCTGTATGTTCCGTTATGCTGCAGAAGAATACTCATCAAGACAGCCAGAAGAGATTCCCTCGTATTAATAATCTTAGAACTGTCGAGCTGGAAGGGACCCTATGGATTACCAAATCCAGCCCCTGTCAAGGAGGCACAGTAGGGGACTGAACTCTCAACCTTCTGGCTCTGCAGCCAGAGACCTGAACTACTGACCTATCCAGCAGTTCTGTTGTCAGTCCTACCTGTAATATTTGTTAATGCCTTTCAGACTGCTACCCCACGTCTTCACTGTTGGCTTTCAAAAAACTTCCTTTCTCTAGCCCTGTTAAGAGTCATTACTTTGTAGAAGTATCTTTTGCACCATTCTTGTGAGCATGCTATTTATGTATTAGATTTATTTAATACATTTGTGCATCCTTTTTAGCCAATAAAAGGTCACATGTAACTTAGAATGCAGGCGATAAAATAGTCCCTGTCCTTAGGAGTGCAGTCTAAAAAGTCAGACAAGGAACAAGGGATGTGGAGAGTGAAAGTAAGAAATGGGTTCCTGTATGTGCAGAATCTGTCTCAGGGGGCTCATAATGGCTGTTCAACAGCAGATCAAAAATAGGCATTAATTCATACAAGCAAAGTTCTTTGTTAGGCAATACCTTGCTTAATTATTGTTAGTTAATTACTGCCTAACCCATAATTTTGTTTCTAGGAAGGGATCACATGGCCATTTTTATAAAAACAGGCTCATTGGCAGCAGAGCATGGTGACATTTATTGTACACAACAGGGCTGTTTGAGAAACTGTAGTTTGAATTTCACAGGTTTCTGTAGTTTTCAGTGAAGCAGCTGTGTTAATCTTTGTAGGCATGTTGACACAATCAAAGGGTAAAAGAAATGGGGGTGGGAAGAGGGTGGGAAGCAAAGGGCAAAATGTTGTGACATCTTAACGAGGAATAGATATGTTTCAGTTTTGCTCAGCCAAAGCTCACACTGAGACAAACCTGTTAGTCTTTAAAGTGCCATAATATTTTGCCCTTTTATTATTATTTTTAGTATGTCCCCCCTCCCTTAACATTTGTCAGCATAACTATGTTTGTGAAAATAATACATAGAGGTTGTAACACAAATTTAAAACAGAAACTGTGATGCACAGTGGCTAAAGGGTTGGGACCAGGATCCGAATGTGGAAGTTCACATCCCTACTTGGCCATGAAGCTTGCTTAGTGATTTTTGGGGCAGTGACGCACTCTCTCAGCCCACCCCAGGGTTGTTGTGAGGATAAAAAGGAAGGAAGAGAGCCACATGTATCCCCTTGAGTGTGTTGGATGAAAGGGGTGATGTATATTAACAAATACTGTAAGTGTATCCCATTAAATTGCAGGTGTAGGGGGAAAGCAATATCTCTGTGTGTGTAAAATGCAAGTATATTAAGGTGATTCCCACAAATCGATCTGATTAACCAATCAATTTACTTCCTTGCTGCTGTTGGCATTCTCACAGTCAACATCTTTCCACCATAGAAAAAGATACGAATGGAGATGCTCTGTGGGTTTGGTGTTACCCTTCTACAACGATTGAACTAAGGGATCTCTTATTGAGGAAATGCTGCCTTACAGATGAAAGCAAACAGCTGCATACATTCATATTTGGTCAGTACAGACTGACATGGTTTTATATTGCAACCATAGAAGTTCCAGATCCGTCACCCTTGAAAAAGGTAGGTTTGAAACTCAAGGAGGAGGCGGAAATCAAATGCTCTTATCCTGCACATTGTTCAGAAATGGTCCTGATCTTAGTAACATGAGAAAAAATGGGGTTTGTCAATGTTTGCTAAGCAAGAGAAATTCAACATTGCCTTAATTCTTTATATGTTTAACTGTTTACTGTATATATCTGTAAGGCAAGGTATATTCTGTAAATACACAGATAACAGGTTTATTAAAAACCCAAAAGGAAGAGTCATGTTATTCCACCTTTGAAATGTACCCCAGTGTTCAAGGTGGGTGAAGGAGGATGCTATTTTTCCAGTCTTTGTTGATTTCAGTGAGTCAGTTGCAAAGCGTGATTGTAGCTGGTTCCAACCTGATATATACATCAAAGCATCTTTATTATATGAAGATGGAGCAAAATAAAATCTACTGATACTGTCTCATTTAGTGACTGAAATCCTGTTGCTTAATGTAGTAAGACCCAATTACAGTATTAAATCTGTGGGAATTTAGTCAATTCCTCCGTATTTCTCATTGCTTCACTGGCCCTACTCTAGTTGCATGTAGTTGGTAAGCAACAGGATTTAGTTACTGTATTTCAAAGAGATTTGGTGGATTTTTTTCTTCTGGTATTGGTATGTTTTACAGTATATGCTTATACTGTAGTAATAAAGACAGATATTGCCATATAAAGCTATCTTTTTCTTCTTGTGTATTTGATAGGTGACCCATTTTTCTATTATCCTGACTACCAAAGACTTTAATCCAGAGAAATATGCAGCCTTCACTAGGATTCTTTGTAGGTATGTATCACTGCTATGTTTTATTGTACACTGGCAAAGGTTAGAGGATGGGTTAAAACCTTTTAAACAGCCAGAAATATGCTCCCAATTCAAAGGCCCATTGTCTTCTGCAAAAATGGTTAATTGTCGCTATTTAAAAGACACATACTTTTAAAAAAAAATGCACATGGCTGTTACCATCCTGGTAGAGGCATTCTACCTGTTTTCATATAGAAGGTTGTGCAGGAATGTGTCTATAAATATGCAGATGCCAGCTAAAATCAAAGGATCTGTTTTCATGAGAACAAATTGCTCTATTTCAATTCAGAATCAGGTTATGACAGTTGATCAGATAAAATCAATATGATTGATCAGTCAATATATTTTTTATTTCTCTTATACCAATGGTACCAGGAATACTTTTGAGAACATTTGGTTGGTTAATCCACTTGCTGTCCTGAATGGAGAAAGCAAATTTACACATTGTTGTTCATATCCCTGTAGATATACATTTTGGATTATGTTAATATTCCCTGTGTGAAAAAATCTTAGAAGACTGTTTGAGAACTTCACTTGGTCCAGAATGGAGCTGAGTATCTAGCATGAGGTGTTATGATCCTATTATTCCTGTTTCAGCTGAGTTGACTACTAATTTGCTTTTATGTGTAATTAGGAGTGCTGTCTTAGGCTTTTAAACACCTAATGAGAGTTAGGAATTTTTGTCTCTCTGGACCTACCGCAGACCATACCAGCCTCCCCCCCCCCCCCCCAAAAGCAACAACCTAGAAGTCACTTGAAGTTTCTTGTTGAATGACTTCCCTTCCTTGTGTGGAAGAAGCTTTCTAAGAATAAAGGAATAATTACTCATGGGCCAGTTCATCCCTACTAAACTAAATGATCTAGATATAGGATATTTTGGGCCAAGCAGAAAGTAGATCAGGATCTAGTGCCAAATGACTGGCTCATTTAAATAGATTTCTGTAAGGAATTTTCATTCTCAGTTGCTTTACAATAGCAGGCAGAAAAGACTCACCCTAAATTGTATTGCTGCAATGAGGAAAGCTTGGATGAGGGATTTTGTGGGTATGGAAAAAACTGTGAGGTCCATTCAGTGCTGATAGTCAAGACAAATTCCTAGGCTCAGGATAGTTTAATTCAAATTTTGTTATGAAACGTTTTTCCACCTCTATGAGTGTGCTTCATCTTTCTCTTAAACAGTTGAGAGCGTGTTCTATAAAACTAATTTTTTTTAAAATTCACAACAGGGTTTCTAAGCTATGGCACCTAGAATGTGGTGTTATTGCCCTGGAATGCCCATAGGATAAATAATTCCTTGCATTAATTTTATTTTCTGTACCAGGCATCTTGTTTGACTGTTTTAAAACTTTTTTTGTTGCTGTGCAAACGTATCTTACGAAAATTTTAAAACTGATTGTGTTTACATTTTATGTTGTAAGCTGCCTTGAGGGTCTCTTGACAGACAGGTGGGAAATAAATGATTTAATAATATTTTGAATCAGCTGTAAAAAACAAGCAAGTTTTTGTAAAAATGTTTTAGGTTTAAATGAACCATGAATGTTTCTTAAAGTAGTGGTCCTAGAGAAAACTATTTTCCCTTAATTTTGTTTGCTTTTTTTTTACAAAGTCAAAAGATGGAGACGTGTCATCTTTTTCAGAATATACATGAAGTATGGGAGTCCAGTAAAAATGATGGAGAGTTATATATCCGTCCTTACAAAGGGGATCTGCCAGAGTGAAGAGAATGGCTCTTTCCTGAGCAAAGACTTTGATGTCAGAAAAGCTTACCTTGCAGGCTCAATCAAAGGTGTGGAGATTTTATTTTTCAAAACCTGTTGCTTCTGTTCAACCCCCGGTACAGTGGTGCCTCGCTTAACAATGTTAATTCATTCCAGCAAAATCGCTGTAGAGCAAAAACGTCGAAAAGTGAAAATTAAAAACACATTGAAACACATTGAAACCCGGTTAGTGCGTTCCAATGGGCTAAAAACTCACCGTCCAGCGAAGATCCTCCATATGGCGGCCATTTTCGGTGCCTGTATAGCGAGGAATCCGTCCCTAAGCACAGTGGGGAGCCATTTTGAGCACCCGGTGGCCATTTTGAAAACCCAATGATCAGCTGTTTTGATCGTCGTAATGTGAAGAATCGGTTCCCGAAGCAGGGAACCAATCTTCCACTGGCCCTACTCTAGTTGCATGTAGTTGGTAAGCAACAGGATTTAGTTACTGTATTTCAAAGAGATTTGGTGGATTTTTTTCTTCTGGTATTGGTATGTTTTACAGTATATGCTTATACTGTAGTAATAAAGACAGATATTGCCATATAAAGCTATCTTTTTCTTCTTGTGTATTTGATAGGTGACCCATTTTTCTATTATCCTGACTACCAAAGACTTTAATCCAGAGAAATATGCAGCCTTCACTAGGATTCTTTGTAGGTATGTATCACTGCTATGTTTTATTGTACACTGGCAAAGGTTAGAGGATGGGTTAAAACCTTTTAAACAGCCAGAAATATGCTCCCAATTCAAAGGCCCATTGTCTTCTGCAAAAATGGTTAATTGTCGCTATTTAAAAGACACATACTTTTAAAAAAAAATGCACATGGCTGTTACCATCCTGGTAGAGGCATTCTACCTGTTTTCATATAGAAGGTTGTGCAGGAATGTGTCTATAAATATGCAGATGCCAGCTAAAATCAAAGGATCTGTTTTCATGAGAACAAATTGCTCTATTTCAATTCAGAATCAGGTTATGACAGTTGATCAGATAAAATCAATATGATTGATCAGTCAATATATTTTTTATTTCTCTTATACCAATGGTACCAGGAATACTTTTGAGAACATTTGGTTGGTTAATCCACTTGCTGTCCTGAATGGAGAAAGCAAATTTACACATTGTTGTTCATATCCCTGTAGATATACATTTTGGATTATGTTAATATTCCCTGTGTGAAAAAATCTTAGAAGACTGTTTGAGAACTTCACTTGGTCCAGAATGGAGCTGAGTATCTAGCATGAGGTGTTATGATCCTATTATTCCTGTTTCAGCTGAGTTGACTACTAATTTGCTTTTAAGTGTAATTAGGAGTGCTGTCTTAGGCTTTTAAACACCTAATGAGAGTTAGGAATTTTTGTCTCTCTGGACCTACCGCAGACCATACCAGCCCCCCCCCCCCCCGCAAAAAAGCAACAACCTAGAAGTCACTTGAAGTTTCTTGTTGAATGACTTCCCTTCCTTGTGTGGAAGAAGCTTTCTAAGAATAAAGGAATAATTACTCATGGGCCAGTTCATCCCTACTAAACTAAATGATCTAGATATAGGATATTTTGGGCCAAGCAGAAAGTAGATCAGGATCTAGTGCCAAATGACTGGCTCATTTAAATAGATTTCTGTAAGGAATTTTCATTCTCAGTTGCTTTACAATAGCAGGCAGAAAAGACTCACCCTAAATTGTATTGCTGCAATGAGGAAAGCTTGGATGAGGGATTTTGTGGGTATGGAAAAAACTGTGAGGTCCATTCAGTGCTGATAGTCAAGACAAATTCCTAGGCTCAGGATAGTTTAATTCAAATTTTGTTATGAAACGTTTTTCCACCTCTATGAGTGTGCTTCATCTTTCTCTTAAACAGTTGAGAGCGTGTTCTATAAAACTAATTTTTTTTAAAATTCACAACAGGGTTTCTAAGCTATGGCACCTAGAATGTGGTGTTATTGCCCTGGAATGCCCATAGGATAAATAATTCCTTGCATTAATTTTATTTTCTGTACCAGGCATCTTGTTTGACTGTTTTAAAACTTTTTTTGTTGCTGTGCAAACGTATCTTACGAAAATTTTAAAACTGATTGTGTTTACATTTTATGTTGTAAGCTGCCTTGAGGGTCTCTTGACAGACAGGTGGGAAATAAATGATTTAATAATATTTTGAATCAGCTGTAAAAAGAAGCAAGTTTTTGTAAAAATGTTTTAGGTTTAAATGAACCATGAATGTTTCTTAAAGTAGTGGTCCTAGAGAAAACTATTTTCCCTTAATTTTGTTTGCTTTTTTTTTACAAAGTCAAAAGATGGAGACGTGTCATCTTTTTCAGAATATACATGAAGTATGGGAGTCCAGTAAAAATGATGGAGAGTTATATATCCGTCCTTACAAAGGGGATCTGCCAGAGTGAAGAGAATGGCTCTTTCCTGAGCAAAGACTTTGATGTCAGAAAAGCTTACCTTGCAGGCTCAATCAAAGGTGTGGAGATTTTATTTTTCAAAACCTGTTGCTTCTGTTCAACCCCCGGTACAGTGGTGCCTCGCTTAACAATGTTAATTCATTCCAGCAAAATCGCTGTAGAGCAAAAACGTCGAAAAGTGAAAATTAAAAACACATTGAAACACATTGAAACCCGGTTAGTGTGTTCCAATGGGCTAAAAACTCACCGTCCAGCGAAGATCCTCCATATGGCGGCCATTTTCGGTGCCTGTATAGCGAGGAATCCGTCCCTAAGCACAGTGGGGAGCCATTTTGAGCACCCGGTGGCCATTTTGAAAACCCAATGATCAGCTGTTTTGATCGTCGTAATGTGAAGAATCGGTTCCCGAAGCAGGGAACCAATCTTCGCAATGCAAAAAAACCATTTAAAACATCGTTTTGCATTTGCAAAAAGATTGTCGTAAAGCGGATTCATCGTAATGCGGGGCAATTGTTAAGCGGGGCATGACTATACTTCGAAGCAAGTGTGAATTGTGCCTAAGTATTTATTAATTTATTCTTTTTGTGTCTCACTCTTTCTGTGGTAAGCTTTGAGGCAAGATCAGTGGCAATCCTCCTCCCCATTTTAATCCTCACAACACCCTAATGATGTAGATCAGATTGACTAGCCCAAGCTGCCCTGGCAGCTCAGGGGGATCTTGTGAAATTGATAATGTGGCTACATCCAGCTTCTGTCCCCCTGAAAAGTCCTTGAGAAACTGTTACAGGAGAGAGGGGTCTCCCAGTCATAAATCTGGAGTGCTAGCTTCCTGTCTCATCTGCCTCTCAGCCATGAACACCTTTCCTCTCATGCAATAAACAACTCAATAGTATTGCAGCTGCCCATCATGGCCCTTGAGATGGAAGAGAGACAGCTGCAGCCTTATTCTTCTTAGCATTATTTTAAACTGAACGGTACTCCCATATTTTTTAACAAACTGTGGTGTCTTTGTTTTACGAAGACACAGATGAAACTCATTATTGCTGATTTTAAAATGAAAAATCTGAGAGGATATAAAGGACTTCTTCTACAAATGTAATATGAACTCTAGCTTTCCAAGCTCCAGAAAAGATTCCACTGTTGCTAAGTGTTGAACAGATTTCCTACCCCTTTGATAAAAGAACTCTCCCATAACATGTTATTCAATTTGAATTATTGCAAATATTTTTTCTTTGTGTTATTGTCACTATCAGCAGTCTGCTGTATTAAAATCCTGCTTCCCCTCCTCCTTTCTGTTCTAGATATAATATCTCAGTTTGGTATGGAAACGGTCATCTTATATACTGCTCTCATGTTAAAGAAAAGAATTGTAGTATACCACCCCAGAATTGAAGCTGTCCAGGAGTTTACAAGGTACAGCAAATATCTAGAAATAAAAATTCACCAAATATGCTCAGTTTTCTTTTCTGGTCTCACTTAGCCATACACATTCCTGTACTCAATGTATTCAATTCTCGGTTTATAATCCCAACCAGAGAAGGAGATAAATTGGAAAAAAATGTGATTTGTTGCAATTTGTCATTTGTCAGAATTGACGAATGGGTGAATCAGTGGAGCACCACATTTAGCAATGAATTGACCCTGCTTGTCAGTGTCCTGACCATCACCTAGACAATTGACAAGCAGGCTGGCTGCAGGAACTGAAACTCGGGCTTGCCTTCCCACAGCTAGCCTGCTTGTCAATGTCCAATCAGCAGATTGGTGGGACATTAAAAAGCAGGCTGGCTGCAAGTTTCCATTCCAGCAGCCAGCCTGCACAAAGGGACGAATAAAAATGGGTAAATATTTGTCACTTCCTATTCTCCAGAGTCTCCGGACCTGTCAAATACAAAGAGACAAATATCCCATGAGTCAGCAATATTTCATGGATATCATAATTTGTTTTTTATTCATCCCCATATTTATTAGTCACCTATAAGATTCACTGTTAAGATGTTTAGATCCTTTGTGCTTGAGGAAATAGTAATAAAAGTGGAATTACTACTACTACTTCCACTTTTATCAGTAAGGTAAAGGTTCCCCTTGACATTTAGTCCAGTCGTGTCCAACTCTAGGGCGTGGTGCTCATCCCCATCTCCAAGCCGTGCTGTTAATGCAAACACTCTGGATGGATTACAACACATCAAGTAATCATTACTGTATTGCAAGGATATTGGGAAAACTTTAGCTCTGTTCTTGATATCATCGATTCTAGATACTGATTATCCTTAACAAGGAATAAGGCTTTCTGTGTGGCAACCCATTCTTGAAAACTCTATCCCATAGAATCTTGAATTATTGCTTTTTTGATTTACTTAGCTTTTGTGATTTTTTGTTGTTGCTGCTCCTGCTTTTTTGTTAACGTAAAATTGCGGAAATCAGTAGAATCAGCAGAGTAATGTCCAGTCCAGGCAGTCCAAATAAATCACACACACGCAGATAGCTTCTCCCAACACCAATCATGTATTTACAGGATATATACAGCAGTGCAGTCTGGCAGCATAACAGGATAGCATTCGTCACATAACAGGAAGATACATCTACTGTACAGGCTTACACATATATACTTAAGCTCATCTGCCTGTGGCCAGTCACATTAGATGTTGTATCATGTATGTGTCAGCACTCATTAGTCATCATGACTCAGCATTACTACACATCTGTTCATCATGGCAGCTCATTAATACAGCTTGTTCTGCTCGGGCCTGGAAATTATTCTTGACTTTTTTTTCTTTTCTTTCAAATTTATTCAATTGGAAAGGTTGGTCTAATTCACAAATAATGCTAAACTGTGGTTTAGCACTATATGTACGGACTGTGATAATCCCAAATGGACTCTTATGCAGCCTTCCTCCACGCCTCCCACATAGCCAGGTGGAGATCTCTGGCCACTTTCTATTTCTTTCCCATCGAATCCTGCCTTGTTCTTGCACACGAATCAGATATTGGTTTTTTTTAACAAACACTTTGTTTCTGGCATGTTTTGAAAAATTCAGATTATCTGCTTCTAGCTTAATGTATGGTGAATTTAAAACATGCCATCTTTAAACCATGACTTTTGAAGCTGTTCTGTTCATCTAACTCACACAATTGCAAACATTTCAGGGGGGAGTACATTAATAATATTCTTGAAAGTAACTACATTGCTAAAACATAATGTCGGTATCTTTCTTTTTAAGGGCTCTACCAGCTTTAGTGTGGCATCGGCAAGACTGGTCAATCCTTCATTCATACGTACATCTGAATGATGGTGAACTGGAAGCATTAAAAATGTGTCCAGGTACTGATAATAAATGGCACCATTCACCACTACTTAACACAGTGACTATATTTTGTCTTGTTAAGACCACATAGTATCAAATAACAAAGCTATAAGCTTTGTAGCTCATGGAGGTTTAACTGGCACTAGCATTATATGTTTTCCCAGTCATTTTAAACTAAAACTTGCTGTTGATTTACATTCATTTGTTTTTCACGTTTATTGTGGTTTTCCCCCCCTGTGTTTGGATTTTGGGGGAAAAATGTGTACTGACCTGGTATTGCAAGATGAAGGACAGGATAAAAATATTTTTCATAAATAATTTTAAATCTTTCTGCTATATTTTGCAGATGTTCTACTTTTCTAATACACAGTGCAAATATTTTAATCCATAACCACTGAAATAACATTCATTATTTGTGTCCCTTAATTGCACATTGCCAAACAGACTTATGACTCAGTCACTATCCTGTGATTTTCTGAGGTGTACCAAACCAGCCTCTGGAAATCTCAGTCATGGAGGAATATCTCCTTATCTCTCTATTGTGAAGAGCAATCAATTGTTTTTAACTATATCTCCTCCCCATCCTGGAAGAATTGAGGGGACAGGAAACCTTTCCAAAATATTTTAATGGATGATACATATGACCATAATTGATATATTCCTAGGATCTTCCTGCGGAACAGAGGTTGGCATGATGCAGTCTCTTGAGCCAATTTTTGCATCTTCAGATATTCCTTAAAAGTCCTTCTCTCTTTCTCTCTCCTCCCACCTCTCTTCCATAAACAGGAGATACAATCCATTGCTGAAAATTAATAGCACCACTTCTCAGTTGGTTTTTGTGCTTCGTGGTAGTTTATGTTTATGTTTATTTCTGTTAACTTATGCAGTGGCTAGACATATCATATTTTCCATGTATAATACCCCCCCACTTTTCTAACCCAGACTTTCTTCCAAATAAAGTGGAGGGGGAAAGCACCTTCTTGTGTGGAAAGTGGAGGGGGAAAGCACTTTCCTCACAAGAAAGTAAAGCATTTTCCTTGCAAGAAAGCACTTTATTGTGAGGAAAGTGCTTTCCCAGTTTCCTCACCAGAAAGCACTTTGAAGAAAGTGGAGGGGGAAAGCAGGGATCAAAGTGCTTTGATCCCTCCCCCTCCTTCCGTGTATAAGATGACCCTAAATTTTTAATCTAAATGTTTTAGAGAAAAGTATTGTCTTATACACGGGAAAATACAGTAATTTATAGCTTCTTTTTAAGGAAGAATTACATTCCTGTATCTTAATTGCCTTAATTGATTAAGGAAAACTTGGCTCAAAGTGATTACTTCCTGGTTTCCAACTACCAAATAAATGGGATGGAAGCCAGGAAATACTTAATCGAAGTGAATATGTGTTCATATAATTAAGGCAATTAAGGCACGGAACTACTGCCGTATTTAAAAATAAAAAGTGTAAACTCTGTTTAACCACTACATAAGATATAAAAACATTTACCGTATTTTTCGCTCCATAAGACGCACCTTTCCATAAGACGCACCAGTTTTTTAGGAGAAGAAAACAGGAAAATATAATCTGTTTTCTTTGCTCCATAAGACGCACAGACTTTCCACCCCCCTGTTTTGTGGGAAAAAAGTGAGTCTTATGGTGCAAAAAATACAGTAAATAAGCAATAAATAGGCACAGAGAAATGAGGAAAGCAACTTTAAGAGTGGCTTTGTGGGGGGCAGGTGTGGTTCAGGACTGCAGACCAAATTAGAAGATGGCCATCAGCCAACCTGCAATTTCCCACCTCTGCTGTAGAGCCTATGGTTAGTATCTTTAGGATGGAATTGTATCTATGTATTTCCTCTTCTGAAAGCAGGAATGTCGGTTTTTATTAAAGCACTTCCAGTTAGGATGCTCTTGCTCAGTAATCATGATATTTTTTCCTGATCAGGTTACATTGCTGGGTTTACCAATTCAGAAGTGAGCAACAGGCCAGATCTGTATGATGTTTATGTGAATTTGGCTGAAAGTGAAATCACTGTTTCGCAGCAAGCAAAAGGTTTGTTGGCAACGTCCTGTATCTTTTTTCATATTTTCCATTGGTACTTTAACAGAAGTATGTTAAAGAAAAATTTAGTGGAGCTGACTAATCTTAAAGGGGGAAAGTTGCACAGTATAATCTATGATAATCTTGGAGCTACAGATCTGGAAAGGACTCTACGGATCATAAAGTCCACCTCCCTGTTAAGGAGGCAGAGTGGAGAGTTGAACTCCCATCCTCTGGCTCTCCACGCCAGATGCTGAAACCCCAGAGTTATCCCACTCTTAAACTATTGTAACTCAAAAAGTCTGTAAGTCAAGCCGTCTGTAAGTCAAGGGTCCACTGTACAGAGCTGGAAAGCTCCTGTTAAGGAGGCAGAGTGGAGAATTGAACTCCCATCCTCTGGGATGCTGGAACCCCAGAGTTATCCCACTCTTAAACTATCTTGGTCTCAAAATAAGATCTTTCCTACTCCTCTCCCCAAACATATTGATCGCATTGCAGTAACAATGCACAGTAAAAGGCAGTTGCTTTTGTTGCAAAAACTAATTCCTGGAAAGCTCCTGTTAAGGAGGCAGAGTGGAGAATTGAACTCCCATCCTCTGGGATGCTGGAACCCCAGAGTTATCCCACTCTTAAACTATCTTGGTCTCAAAATAAGATCTTTCCTACTCCTCTCCCCAAACATATTGATCGCATTGCAGTAACAATGCACAGTAAAAGGCAGTTGCTTTTGTTGCAAAAACTAATTCCCAGCTAAAGCGAAAATTGCAAAAGTTGTGTCAGAATGACCCAAGCAAGATGCTTAGAAAAAGATGCAGGTAAACTTAGTAGAAGGCAGAGCTAATGAAGATTACCCCCCCAAAAAAAGGCGAGGGGCAGGGATTGAGTTTTTTGAAGGTATATTCTTTTCTAATCCTGGTTAGTAACTTAGAAAGCATCACAACTAAGATAGTGTTAGGTGCTAGAAGATGGTAGTGAAAAGGGTTCTGCAAACCTAATTGTATTGGGACACTAAAAGCATGGTGAAACTCTGCAACCGCGTAATTGTGAATTTTCAGACTTGGAAGATTGGAATTAATTACAGCACTGTCTTTCTTTCCTCACCCCCACCCCCAGAGGCAATGACAATGGGGAAACTGCACAAAGACATCGGTCAACTCATTGTTCAGTCTGCAGAAGATCCGGACAAACCTAACAGTCAAGTTGTTAAGGTGAAGTTTCTCCTCTTTGGAAAATTTCAGTGTTCTGAGGTTTTGTTGCTTAAAATACTGTGATCTTAAGAAAACGCTGATACTAAAGGTGACTGAAGGCAGAGCTAGGGAAACTGCAGTCCCTCAGACATCAGGAACACAGGAAGTTACCTTGGTCTATCAAGCTCACTATTGTCAATTCTGACTGGCCCCAATTCTGCAGGTTGTCAAGGAGGAATCATTCCTAGCCCTATCTAGAGATTGTTGGGGATCTCCAAGTACTAACGAGGCCTCACCTGGCTTAGGTTCTGAAATCAGAAAAAACCAAGTGTATTGAAGTCAAATCCCATCAGCCCCTACCAGTATGAGCTGTGCTCAAGTATAATGGGAGTTGTAGTTCAACACCATGTGGATTCCTGGCACTGTGTGCATGGTTTTAAAACATAATGCCTGAATAAGGCTACTGCGACAAGAAGCTGGATTGCCATCTTTTCTCAACCTGGTGCTGCAGTGGCTCTATCAAGAAGCTAAAGCTCATCTGTGACATAATGATGAATGCTTCAAGTTGCCACTATGAATGAGAGGTCTCACTGGAACTGGGGAAAAACAACTCAATCCTATGTGCAGTTTTCTCGGAGTAAGCACTTTGGGGCTTTTTCTGTGCTTTAGCTGCCTTTCTTTCTCTCTGTGTGTGTTAATCAACTGTTTATGCTTTGTAGTTGTTTCTAGCGGCAAATTAGTTATACACAGATTTTTAACTACACGGGGGTCCAGTGCTCCTAACCTCAGCATTGTTGAAGGGTGAAGTAAGGTTCTGTTGCTGTTTTGAGAGCTGAATCTATAAGGTGGTGAAGGTACTTCTGAAAACATCTTCACATTATGCCTCAAAGAATAATGAGACGCTTCTTTAGACTTGGTAAGGCAATACTTACCTGCTAATATTTAAATGGTAGGGGAAGTACCTAGCTCTGCCCTTCTTGTCATCACTTTCTTTATGTGGCAAGCGATGTAGCTGTAGAGGAGAAGTTCCTGCAGATGTGGTGTCTGTCTGTGTAAACAAGGGCTGTAAGCTTTCCAGTATTCTTGCTTGTATGGAGTCTCCACATGAACAGGAACCTCTCTTCTTCAAACTCAATGCTTTCTATGTGCAGAAAGTAACAATGGAGGAGGCAGGGCTAACATGCTCACATCATTGCATTTTCACTAAATGAGGTGAGTAATGACATTTGGCATACCAACTTATTTTTTTAACTTCAACATTGTTCTTATTTGCAGGACATTTCACTGAAGACGAAAGAAATTTTGACAAGCCTAGCCTCATTCACAGAAGTCCTGTGTGATGGTGAGAAGCCATCACTTAACTTTGAAGCACTGAAACAGAAGCGATTTCCACCAGCGACTGAAAATTTCCTTTATCATTTGGCAGCTGCTGAACAAATGCTTAAAATCTGAACAAATGTTTTAAGAGCTGATGTTTTAAACGAACTTCAGTATAATGCATCAAAAGGAACCTTCTGTTTACTATACTTTAAATTGTCCGAAATCTTTGTAAAGCATTCAGTGAAGTACACAGCTTTTATAAAAAAAATCTTGGAATGGGCAAGGCTAATACAGAATTGAGATGAAGTCCCTCAGTGTATAGGATTTTTTTTACTTAATTTTTTTTACAAATGGGATAGATTTTTAAGATAAAGGATAGCCAACACCTGCTATACTTTATCTGCAAAGGATGTGAGGGTGAATTTGTTTTGACCTGGATCTTTGATACATGTAGGTGAAATGTAGTATTTGAGAAACACTTTAAACTTCATAATGGCCACAAACCTGTTGGATATTTACACATGTACAGTAGGAATTGTAAGCTAGTGTGGCTAATTGATGAGGTGTTGGTCATGTGCTGTATCACATACCCAGGATGTACTGACACTTTGTCAGTTAGCTGCAATCAGTCACAGCAACTTCCTTGATTTTGCTTGCAAAAGTATCTAGTAGGATTTTGACCAATATCAACAAACAGAATACTATGAAAATCTGAAAGCCATTAAAATTTAAAAGATGAGTTGCCTTATGCAGTCAAGAGTCAGTCTAAAGCCAAGACACAACTGCTCCTCCAAGTTCCTTTGGCAGTCACTTAATGAAGGGCATGTGCAACTCCATTTATTTAGTAATCACCCACCCACATCCACTTGCAATGTTGTGGGTCTGCTGGCAGCTATAATTTTAGGATTAACGAACAAAAGGACAACTCCTGCCCTGGGCTTCCAGACATAAGAGTAGTCACGTGTCTACAAGTGTACATGTGTAGTGCACTTTCCAATTAATGCTCTTTGCATGTTTTTTTGGAGTCTGTGAGCATGATCAGACTGGTCTGCCTTGTATGTGGGGGGCAGAGGCATATATAGGTGTCAACTCTGTACCCAACATTCAGGGCAAACGTCATTGCTAAACTGCATATATGAATATTCCCAATGGCTGATTTCTTGAAGAGGAAACTAGTTCCAAGAGGAAATGTTATTTCTGTCAGCAAGGGGAGGTTCAACTCTTTCCCCTTTCCTGCTGTTTTTCTGTAGCTGTTCCATCTGGCTAGCAAACATGTTTACCAACAATAAGCCTCAGCCTGGACCTGGGGAAAGGAAGAACAGTGTACACACACTCTACATAGCCTCCCCCCACCCCGGGAATCAACCCAGGTGAAGCCACTTTTCCTTTAAAGCAGCCCTTGAGATTTGCGCATATGGTATCGTTTTGCCTGTTGACTCAAAAATAAAGATTTTACAAAGCAAGAGAGTTGAAGAAATCTGAGAGCTATTGAGGAGCTTCTGGTATAGCACTTTGCTATAATTAAAAATCATTTATGATCTTTGCCCTTCATAAATATTTGTCCTGGCATGGGGCAGAGGTTATATACTTTTTAATCAGTAATCCTTATTTCCTTACCCAATACATATTGAAAAGCTATTCAGTTGTTTAATAGAAATAATTGTGTTTTAGCAATATTAACTTGAGAATCCTTTGTCTTCTAACTTGTATTATAAAGAATTTGAGTTTTCACTTGCAGTATGGAGAAAATGAGCAACGACTGTAAAAATCTAGATTAGCCCTAGTAAGTTTGTGAGCATGACTGCTGTTCCCCTATTTTTCCCCTAAGGGGTCCGTGTGTCATTCTCTTTTGTACATAAATATATGTCAACATATGTACGTCAAAAAGTTAATTTGCTACATTTTTCTTACTCAATAATGTTCTGACCTCTTCATTACCATTTGGTGTGTTACTGTGCCAATGCAGATGAAGCATGAATTTCTCCCCTTGTTCCCTGCGTATACACTTATTACAACTGTTCACTCAAACACTTAACTTGGTAGCCCAAGGTGGCAAATGGTTTGTTTGCAACTGAGTGTGGTAGCTTGTGTATTGTTTAAACTAGGACTTTGCTCATGCAGCCATATTTTAAGTGAAACAGCTGACTGTGCTAAGAGCCAGTTGTGTGTGTTTGTTGTTGAATTTGAAAATTCATCTGCTTTTGTTTCTGACCCTGCCCAGAGATGGCATGGAATTCCTAACAGCACGGCCCATGTCATTTATCTCCTATAGATCTGCAACAGATAACTTTATAGGCATACACAGACAGTACCTTTTATTCAACATGCAGTTTCAGCTTAAAAGGGAACTCTGGATCAAATTTAGTACTCCCCATAACTTACAGTAAGATGTGGAAGAGATCAAAGTCCAACAATGCCAATAGAGCTTGTTCCCTATGTGTCTTGCCTAAACTATTCCACTAGCAACAAACAAAACAACCTCTCTCCTAGCATTACTGGCTGGAAGTGGTAAGGAATGAAGGCCATCTTCATTCCAAACTATTGAGGGTCATACGTATTCATAGAGTTAGCCTATATCACTTTACCTGGCAATAAGATCCATGGCATTAACTTATGAGTAGATCATACAAGACCGTTCAGTACAATTGATTCCTTCTTCAGTGGACACAGCTGCAACATACTCAGTTGTGGTTTTGATATCTAGCTTTGGGTAGAATGGACTGTGAGATCAAATAGATAATGCAACACAAGAGTAAATAATAACCAGCACAATCTTCTGTCCCTTGGAAATGAAAGATGACAGGGCAAATTACAACTTTAGGAAGACTGTTGGACATAAAGCTTTCAGGGGTGTTTGCCCACATGTATTACATGTTCCACAATTTAAAAAATTCCTTTTAAAGTCAGCAGTCTCATATTCCACTATGTCTGTATGTACCACCTTCCCAGAGGAAGTTGCATAATGGTAGTTGGCCATAATTCATATGCCTATCATGCGCCACTACAACACACCCACACATTTTCCATTTTGACACATGCTTTCATCCCTAGTATATTCAGTGACATTGACTGACTGCCAGGCAGTGTGGATAGGAAATCTTCAGAATTTTTCAATACGGACATGGAAAACAAGAGGGATCATTGAATGGAGTGAACAAACAGAGAACATAATGTGCTGAGTATTTTTCTGGCACCATTGTCCTTATTGTAACATAGATGACAAAATAACATATTCAGATATGACTTGCTTCATTTTGGAACACCCAGTAGAAAGAAGAGGGATATGTGGGCATTATATTTAGCCATCGGAGGAGAAACTGATATGCTTGGACACACTGGGGAGTCTAGGAATGCTTGGACTGTTTTAATTTCATTATTATCAACCTGTTTAGATTATTGTAAAATAGCTTTTGCATTACTCGGATACTATTTGTACATACTGTACAACTTTTCAAATTGCATCTTTTGTTTATAAAGAAAACCGCTGGTAGTTCCAGAGGACAAGGCCACCATTTTTGGCAGCCTGGGAACAAGCACCACCAAGACTGGTCAGTTTGATCTCTGCATAATCTATACTAGATTAGTGGTTTCCCAGATAGTAAATCTGATGTCTGGAAGATGTCTTTCTCCTCATCGCCCCAGTTTCCTTCACTACATGTAATGGCACTCTGATTATGCATTTAACAACAATGGATTTCTTTGTTTTTATATCCAAACAAAGGCATATTGCATTGGGTTTATATAATCATTATATTTCTAAGAGTGTCTACATCTTGTAAAAATTTAGACAAGCAGCATGATTAGAACACATACACACACAACACCGATTTCTCTGAACTATTTGCTGGGCCAACGAGACTCTCCTCCAGAACAATGCAGATACACTGAGTCTGGCAATTTGACTCTTCATAGAGTAGTGTTCAATCCAAACCTGTTTGCGTTACAACAAAATATGGATTTTATAGGGGATGAATCTCTTGCAGGCAGCCCTGAAAAGGACTACTCTGGTTTTAGTTTTCCTTATCTGAAGCAGCAGAAAGCAGACAGTTGAAGGAAGAGGAAATTATGTTAGTAAGGGGGAAAGCAGGCAAAAGCTGCTTCTTAGAAAAGTAAAAAAGCACAAGTCACCATGAAAACTTTCTCCTCTCCATTGTATTTGGCATAGTATGATTTACATGATGCTTCTGAAGGTTAGCAAGGATTAATTTCAACCTAATTGAATCCTAATTTCAAGGATTAATTTCAATCACAGCAGCTTCAATCCATTCAGAAATTGTGACTGCCTAGTCTTTTCTTCCATTGAAGTTGGAAGAAAACTTTGCAGTCAAGCATCAACATGGGGCAAAACTTCTAATTATCTTTCTTTGTGGATGCTCAATTGCTACAGATAATTGGGTGATGAAATTAAATCCTTTCCCAGTGATAGAATGTGGGGTGAGGATGAATAAAATTCAGTCATAGTCTATATTCACAATTGCATTAGAGTCTAGAGAAATATACAGAAAATTGGTCTGATTTGATATTTCAGTAAACATAATCTGGATTTCATTTTGCCAGGAACAGTGTTGACAAATACTCAAATTATTAAATTCCTCTGTAGTAAAACAATTCTGATTCTTCAGTGGAGGAGACTATTTCAGGCTCAAGTTCATTTCGTTTTATCTGAAACATAAAGACAAGACACTTTTATTACATCAGTCCATTATTGGCTTCTTTGTATCACTTGATTCCTTGTATTTATTAATTCACAAATACACATCTAGTAAATGAAGACAATTTTGCAACAGATTACAGGATGATGTGTTGCCACTCACATGCAAATATACACACTTTCTGAAGTATTAGCACTAAAGACAAGACTTCCACCAATAAAGCATATTGTAGCCATTCCGACCCCATACTTCAAATATGTACCCAATTACCTTGAAATTAACAAAAATATTTAGGAATTTAGTGATTCTGTACTTAGCACTGTTTTGTGTCTTTCTTTTGGGATGTGTCACATTTTCTACTGGTGATAGTCTTATGCCAAATCTGCATGATCACACGGACCCACCCAGGGCCTGTGCATCTCCAGGTTTTCATCTGCCTTCATTCTATAAGAGCCTCCAGTCTAATCAAGCAAATTGCAAGCCAATGGTTTCATGCTGGGAGCTGCTATGAGAAATCCCAAGAAATTTTGCATCTGAAAAACCCAGTTTAGGTAGATGTGACTCTTCCTTGGTTGCTGAGCATCCTTGCATTGCCACTGCCCTTAAGATAGCCTGTACACACTCCAAGCGAACACTGAAGACTTACCTTGTTAAGTTGTGGCATCCAGCTAAATGAAACAGGTATCATAGTTGCAAGGACTACAACGATTGTAGCCCATCTTATTAGAGTAAAAGAAAATGGATTTTGAAGCAAAATGCTTCTGCTGGAAAAGATAGGAAGGGCAGATTACTGAACAGCAAGGAACAGACTAGTACACATAATCAATCAAGAAAAATTTGGAAGAACAAACCAGTTAGTGCAGGAAAGATTTATGGACTGGTTCCCTAAGCAGAACACTAGAAGAATGGTTGGACATTTTGGACATATCAGTAGGTATTCTATAAGACATGAAGTTTTCACTGAGCCTCCCTCTCCTCAGTCTACGTTCTCTGGTTAATTTTGTAGCATTGCTAAAGGCTCAATTCTTTAGTCTCCTAAAAAAAAATCTCGTGATTACCTAATGTTGTAGGAATAAAGATGCAGAGGATTGAAAAGGCAGTTGCTTCGTTCTAGTAGAAATCTGACTTCCCAGATTTCAAGAAGCACAATCCAGCTTGCAAAATCTCTCTAAAGAGCCATTTGTAGGACCACAGATCATCCTGCAAAATTGTGAGGATTTGTTTGTGGTTCTCATGGTTGCTACACAGAGAGGGATGTCACGATAAAACATAAAAGTTGTCAAGAGATGAATATACCCATCAGATTTGAATAAATGAATACATAATATTATTTTGATTGCAGATTTTTAAATAGAAGACACATTATGTAGAATCAATCAAATCAAACAGTATTAAAAATTTAAACAAGATAAAATTGGATGGAACTAGTCTTCTGGTTAGCTTCTTATAGTCTGATTGCAAAACATTTTAAACTAGAGATTCAGTTATCATAGAAATGCTCAGTTTCACGAGGAAAGGAACATTCTGCAGACGACTATAATCTGCTTTTATAAATGGAGAAATTAATCTTAGGTTTCCCATGAAAATGAATTTCAAAAGCACATTTATTTATTTAAAATATTTTTACCACACCTTTCTCCTAAAAAAGGATCCAAGCCAGCTTACATCACTAAAAACACAGTAATAAAACCTAAAAACAGTAACCTATTCAAAAATTAAAGAAGAATTAATAAATAATATTATTTTAACAACATCAGGTAAAAGCATTATGAAAAGCAGATTTATAAGCAACAAAATGTAAATCATCCCATTTACTGTCTACTAGACAATCCATCACTAAGGAAAAACCTGCCTGAAGTGAAAGATCTTTGCCTGCCTGCAAAAGGACAGCAAAGATGAGGCCAGTCTGGCCTTCTGTGGGAGGGAGTTCCAGAGGCTGGGAGCAACAAGAGAGAAGGTGCTCTCCCATGTCATCACCAAGCAAACCTGTGAGGTGGTGGGACACAGAGAAAGGGCTCCCTTAATGATATCCACATCAGGCTCATCAAGGCATGGTCCTTTAGTAGCTTGGACCCAAGCCATTTAGGGCTTTACAGCAGCGGTCCCTAACCTTTTTGGGACCGCAGACTGGCTGAGGAAGGCGGAACACTCCCCTGCGCTCTTGTGCATGGGCTCTTGCGCACGCCAGTGCGCATGCGATCACTCCCCCCCTTTGCACATGCGCAGGAGCACCCACGCAAGCTCTCCCACCCCTATGTGCATGCGTCAGAGTGCCCGCACACCCCCATGCCTTTGTACAGGCACTCTGGTGCATGAATGAGTGGGAAAACGCTCACACCAGTGCTGGCACGCGTGTGTGCATGCAAACAGCTGTGGGGAGGAGTGCGTGGGGGGGAGGTCTGTCTTTGCAGCCTGGTCTGGCTCAGGCCACGGGCCGCAGACCAGGGGTTGACGACCTCTGCTGTACAGGGTAAAACCAACACTTTGAATTGTGCCTGCAAACAGACTGGCAACCAGTTGGACTGCTGTAATGGGGGTTATGTGATCCTTGTGACCAGCCCCAGTCAGTAATTTCCCTGCCACATTTTGGACCTATTGAAGTTTCTGAGCACTTTCTAAAGCCAGCCCCATGTAGAGTGTGTTCCAGTGTTCCAGCCAGGATGTAACTGAAGCATATGTCACAGTGGTCAGATCCAATCTCTCAAAAAACAAACATAGCTCGTGCACTAGTTTTAACTGTGCAAAGGCACTTCTGGCCACACTGTGCATCCAGGCTTAGAGGCAAATCCAGGAGCACATCCAAGCTGCAATCCTGTGTTTCCAGAGGAAGTGTAACCCATCCAGTACAAGCTAAATCCCTACCCCTTGATCTGCCTGAAACTTGAATGAGAGTTTCTGTTTACCTCAAAACACAAGCTCAAAGTATTTCAAGGTGTGAAATATTCATAAATCTGCCTTTCACCACTGCAAAGGGAAATACGTTAGAACTGGTACATGAAAAACCCTTCCTTTTTCCTTTTCAGTATTCATTTTGCTCAGAGACCTACAGTGGCAATGTCTTACCGTTTTAAAAAGTGTAAAGTCAAGTCTGGAACAAACAGTACAGTACCAAAGAGTGCTGCCCTGGATAGTGCTGTCTCATTCACAGCCTAGGGGAATGAAAACAGAACAGACATGCACTGAAACGAAGCTGAGGATAAATTCTGAAAATTCTGTGGCAGTCTTTTTAATGATCCTGGATTTTCACACACAAAACCCCCCAATAATTTAGTTAAGCTTGTTTTAAAAGAGACTCCAAATGGTCCAACCCAGCCTAATGGGAAACGGTTGCCCACCATATCAATTACTGTGGTCTGATTGTTTAAGCCATTTAATTCATTCACTTATTTTTGCAAATTAATTATCAAGACAGAGGTGGGCATCATGCAGTTTGCAGCCTGCATGTGCCTGCCAGATCACCCTTGAGCTACAGATACTCTCACACCCCTCCCCATGTTATATTTTTTGGGAAAATACTGCCAGCATGAAAAGTCCCCTTTTGACTTCTAGAAATGTTGGGGGCTCTTTTAACAGCCCCCAACACTTGTACACCTTCCCAAAATTTGTAAAACCATTTATGGCTACTAAAGGGCACAAACAACTATTTAAAAAAAACACCTATAAGGAAAAAAAAACATAATTCGTTTGAAATGTGGTGCTGGAGGCGAGCTTTGAGGATACCCAGGACTGCCAGAAATACAGACGAATGGGTCCTAGAGCAAATCAAGCCTGAACTATCTCTGGAGGCAAACATGTTGAAACTGAGACTGTCCTGCTTCAGGCACATCATGAGAAGGCAGGAATCTCTGGAAAAGACAAGAATGCTGGGGAAGGGGGAAGGCAGCAGGAAAAGAGGAATACTCCCTAAAGGAAATTACCGGTTTGAGTTTACAGGAGCTGAATGAGGCAGTTTAAGGTAGGACATTTTGGAGATTGCTCATTCATAGAGTTGCTGTAAGTTGAAGGCAACTTGATGGCACACAACAACAAAAACAACATAAGAAAAATAATTGAGCTCAAGGTTCCAGAAGTAGCCCTGCAAGCTCCAGAGATTGGTATATATAGCTCCCAAACCTCTGGAAGTTGCCACCCTATCCTAAGATAACTTTGGAACTCTTATATGTACTGGAATATGAGAGGCCCTGCTACTTAGGCTTCTATTATATAGGTTATATATCATGACTGTTTTGATGTATATGCTGTAATGATTTACTAGATGTTGAAATAGAAAGTTGAAAAGTCACCATATGGGACAGCATTGAAGCTATAATTTCTCTCCCAAACCAGCATGTTTAGCAAATGGCCAACATGGCCAACAAAGACCTCCAGCAAAACTACCCCAAAGTCCCAAGCTTCTCATTGGACACTGAGCTCACACAAGACTTCATCCTTGTTGGAAATGCACTCCTTTTTAAAATGAAGCTGTCCAGACAGGGAAATAATAAGGCAATGAGAAAAAGCGGGCTTCTATTAAAAGCAGGATTGGGGGCAGAGGAAGCTGAGGAAATGTCCCTAGGAACTATGGATGGAAAGAGGAGAACAAACAATCCAGTAAGAGATATTTCCTCAATGATGATATCATAAGGAACAACTCAAAAACAGTAATAAGGAGTATGTTGCTGATTGTGCATGGCAGTTTTGGGGGCTATCTTTCCAACCAAATGAATTAATGAAACAGGAACAAAAATGTGCTGTTTGGTTGGTGATTTACTTCAGTGCAGACAACTGTAGTCAGAAGGGAAGGCAGGAATAAAGCTACCAAAAAGAAATGTTGCTTCACTTACCTTTTCTCCGGCCTTCTTAGAAACTCCAACGACGTTACCTTTGCTATCCATTACCTGAATTCCCTCCTCAGCCTCTCTGTTTCTAACAACACACAGGCTAAGTGCACAGACGGTAGCTGTACGTTAAAGAAAGTGTAAGCTTCTTAAAGAATACACATAAATTATTTATCTAGCAGTAGACCTTTAATTACTTTTACAATCATATGTAATACATACTCGCAGTATCCAACTGAATATTTGATGTAAGTGCAATGGTGAACTATGAATAACCACTAATTAACAATTCCTGACTAGATTGCTAGTCATGCAGTAATTGTGGACACAAACAGACATTCAGATGACTCATTAATTAGCAGCTATTCACTGGTTCAGGTTATTTCACACCACTTCCATGAGCAAAAATATTCAATTGAATTCTAGCCATCTGTTATTGTATCTGATATTCAACAATTCTGGCTACGAATACCAAGTCCTGACATTGTGAGATAAGTGGAAAAAAATACATTTCCAACAAGATTACAGTACTTGTAGGCTTTATGCCTACAACCATTGAAAAGCCTGTTGCTTCTACACCTTTCTTCTTTGACCTGGTGGCCCACGCTGGGCTGAATCCGGTCCGACTGAGGAAGGCTGAGTTACACACTAATAAAATTAATAAAATTCATTATCCCTTTCCACAAATGTACGTGTAGATGTGTACATTCAATTGAACAACTTCTATGGACTACAGTTCTCATTTCATCATATTCAAACTCTTTTGGAGAATCATACAGTATGGAGTATTGTTCACTACTCTGGCTTTTCCCCCACAGAAAAGTCCCCCCCACAGAAAAGTTAGGGGATTTGACACTGTTAGGTCTGCCTCTGGCCACAGGAAGACTGGGAGAATGAAATCATGTCATGTTGAAACTTAGCACAATGAAGTGCATAGGAAACTTCTCTTTGTGTAAGAAGGTCTCCAAAAAATAAATATTTGGCACAGGATAGACTATACATTCATTAAGCAAACCACCACACTGTTAACTTGACTTAAATAACTACACATGCAGAAGAATTCTGGTAAAGATTACCTAAATATGTGATGGTGCATCACTGCTTCCTCAGCAGAAACAGAGACGTACAGAGATTAAAACATATCTTAAGGGATCATGATGCTGACTGGAACTAAGCAAATATCACTGGCAAACACCAATGGTGATTCTTAATCCTAACTGTTCAGGAGAACAGAGTCTGGAAAAATTACTTTTTTTGGAAGCATAATTCCTAGAAGAAAGCAGGCACGCAGAAAGGAAAAAACTGGAACTTGGCCTACAAAAAAATTAACCAAACTAGACCAAAATAATAATCATCTACCTCAAGACACTTGAGTTCATTTAATTCACTTACCTGTGAGTGGACCTGGAATAAGATTCCTGAAGAGAAATTGCACAGAAGGACGCTGTGGTTTATAGCGATTTATAAAAAAGTGAGGAAGTGTCTAGAAAGAACATACATTAAATTTGTTAAATACATTAACGAATTTAAAGGTTTCTCCTGCAAACCGTAAATGTATCTATCTTTTGTATCAATCATGCACTGTTGTACAGACTCAGAGCAGCTCATGCCAGTTTTTCTAAATTTTAATGGAGATGTTCCCAGCAGGTTCACAGCTTAAATTAAAATCATTTATTAAAAGAAAAGCTCAGAGAAGATTTAGGAAAGACTGTATTTCCCTTAAAAAATACCTCAGCTCTCTCCATCTCTCAGGCCCCATCATAGATTCTGTGCTGCTTTTGGAATGTTAGCAAATATTTATTTATTGGTCTCATTTATAAGCTGCCTTTCTCCCAACTCAAGGCAGCTCACGAGGTTAAAAAATATAATTAAGAATACAATATGTTATACATTTCAAAAGTTAAACTATCATAGTAATTAAAAATCTACTGGTTGAAAACATTTAAAAGATTTGGTTACTTATGTAACTATGGTTCTTTGAGTGGTGATCCATGTATCCACACAAAGGGGTTCTGTGCCTGCACAGACCTCGGTTTGGAAAGTTCCAGAGCCTCAAAGATGAAAATGCCTCTCTATCTATATTGCATGCGCATAGCCCCACTTTCCTCAGTCCCAACTGTCTGCCCCTCGAAAAAAACTGGAAGGGCGAAACAAGACGGACGGTGGGCGGGATGTGTGGATACATAGATCACCACTCAAAGAACCATAGTTACATAAGTAACCAAATCTTTTTCGTTGTGGTGTCTGTGTATGCACACATAGGGTTGATTAGCAAGTTAGAGTTCTGGAGGTGGGAGTTACTCCAGGACAGATGATAGAACAACTCTACCAAAAGCAGAATCTCTCTGAGCCCTGAGGTCTAGTCCAGTGGTGTCCAACCTTGGCCCTCCAGATGTTCTTAGACTACAGATCCCAGAAGCCTTCACCACCACCTCTGCTGGCCAGGATTTCTGGAAGTCCAAGAACATCTGGAGGGCCAAGGTTGGACACCACTGGTCTAGTCTATAGATCACTATATCTAGTGTGGCAAAGGTTAAGGGCTGGGACCATGCGGCTGCTCGACAGATATCCTGGATTTCTACACCTTGCTTAAAGGCAGTAGAGGAGGAGATTCTTCTAGTAGAGTGGCTGCAGAAAGCCTGAGGAGTGGGGGGGGGCTTGCTTGCAAGTTAATAGGCCAAGGCGGAGCTAGGGAGATTCATTTGGAGAAGTGCTGGAAGGAAATCGGTTGTCCTTTTGGGGAGGCGAGGGATTGTTCCAGGTCATTCTGCAGAGATAGATAGAAGATATGTAGGTCATATGATAAGTTGAGACATGTGAAAATGAGACACTACTTTGGGGAGGAAGATAACATCAGTGTGGAGAGTGACCTTGTTGCAGAAGAAAATTACACAGGGTGAGTCACACTGAAGAGCTGTAAGCTTTGTCGCCCAATGTGCTGATGTGAGTGCTACCAAGAGTGCGACCTTGAAAGATAGAAGGCAGAGATCCGCTGTAGCCAGCAGTTCAAAGGAGGCTTGGTAAGTTGGGAAAGAACTAGTGATAGGGATCAGGGGTCCTGTCTATAGACATTTTTAATTCTGCTAGATGCTAGCAGAATCGAGGACGGTTATTGTGGGTTTTTCGGGCTTCTTGGCCGTGTTCTGAAGGTGGTTCTTCCTAACGTTTTGCCAGTCTCTGTGGCCGGCATCTTCAGAGGACAGCAAACTGTGCTCTGGGTAAGGCTTGAGAGTGGAGTATTTATGGCTATGAGAAGGCTTGTTTGTGAGAAGGCTATTGTCCTATCAGGAGATGGTTAATTAGTATGTTTTGTTGTGGCTGTATTGTTTTGATAAGGAGGGGGGATTATCTGTCCCTGTGGTTGATGGGTGTCATTAGCTGGTCTTTTGTGTGTAGTAATCCCCTGACCTTGTGGCTGGGTGGAGTTCGTTGACCTTTTGCACTCTGTGTTTTTGAGAGCTGGGAGCCAGGTTTTGTTGAGTTTCAGACTTTCCTCCTTCCGGTTGAAGTTTTGTTGATGCTTGTGGATTTCAATGGCTTCCCTGTGCAGTCTGACGTAATGATTGCTGGTGTTGTCCAGTCTTTCAGTATTTTGAAATAGAATTTCATGTCCAGTTTGTTTTAGGGCATGTTCAGCTACTGCAGATTTTTCTGGTTGTTTTAGTCTGCAGTGTCTCTCATGTTCTTTGATTCTGGTGTGGATGCTTCGTTTTGTGGTTCCAATGTATACCTGGCCACAACTGCAAGGTATCCGGTATACTCCTGCAGTGGTGAGGGGGTCCCTTCTGTCCTTTGCTGACCGTAACATTAGATCCCGGCCGTGAAAGCCTTCGCGAATACACAGAATCGAGGACGGTTTTTGCCAAGACTGGCTGATGAGGTCAAAGTCTCAAGCACGGCCATTTCAACAGGGATGTTTGCCTTTTTATAGATGCAAGCAAAGATGGCGTCCTTTGCTGGTGGCACTGGTTTGAAGACAGGTAACCGCAATGATTTTGCCATTTTCTCTATTCGGTTATTATAAGAAGAGAGGTCTTCTGACAGTGGGAGTAGAGAATCACTCTGGACATCAGAAGTGGGTGAGGATCCGGGTGCAGTTGATGGTATTGTCAGCAAATAATAGGAATTGTGCGGTAACCACAAGATAAGTAAAGCACTGGTATCAGAAGAATGTAAAAGAGTCGGAGATTATGCTGGTTGAAGAGCCAAAGCTTGAGATGATGACTGGGACAATCCCCGTTGCTGGTGCTGTCCATGTGGGAGGCAAAAAGTGGTGGATCAGTGGGGAGACTGAGATCGATTTTGAGAGTCCTGCCTTGGTTGTGGGACCTGCTTTGGTTGTGGGATCGGTATTTATTTATTTATGTATTTATGTATATGTATATGTATGTGTGTGT